GGTATCTGTGGGTTCTTTCAGTTGCTGATTATGAATCTGATGTCAGATTTTAAAAAATTCAAGATGGCAGGTGCAACATGGCGGACACACATAATGAAACAATCACTTACTTTTATTGGAACTGTTATGTTGTGGTTTTTCTGGCTAGCTGATTGCGAATTTTCTATTAGGTTTTCGAAAGTAATTTTTTCAACGACAATTTTTGAGTGGGAAAAGTATTCTTTTTATTGTTTTTTCATAAAAAAAATATCAAATTCAAATTTATACGTTACATGACACATAAAAGATAACGTGAAAGTTTTATTTGTTATATTTAGAAGCTTATCTCGCCTTCATTGGCTAGATAACTTTTTCATCTTGCCTACACTGAAGGTAAATGTAAATCTGATAGAAAATTCGCAATCAGCTAGCCGAAAAAACCACAACATAACAGTTCTAATAAAAATAAATAATTCACTATTTGTGTCCGCTATATTACATCTGCCATCTTGAATTTTTTAAATCTGACATCGAATTCGTAATAAGCAACTCAAAGAATCCATAGATACTGAATTTCGCAAAAATTCCTACAATAAAACGTTATTAGTGTCAAACTTCCTTAATAGGTAGTAAGCACTTTGACCCTCTATATCTCTGAAACCAATCGTATGCACAATATAAAACTTTTTTGTGATTAATGTCTTATCATGAGCTGTCATTTCGCATAAAATTTAATTTAAAAATCGGGGACTGAAAAACAGGCACCTTTTGCGGAGATTCTTTTGCTGCTTTGTTAACACCCCCGGTTGCCAACGACGGAAACATCCAGGGGAAGAAAACTAATAAAATCACGAGAAATTACGGAGTCAGAGAATGACACGAAGGGCGACAAAAGATGACGGATCGCGACACACTTTCCTTTCCGCGGATACTTCCGTCATTAACTTTCTTGTTTTGTCGTGTTTTTTAATAATGTGCAGCGATGGTTATTATTTCTGTCAGAATTTAAAAATTAATGAATCTTTAGAACTTGATAAACTTAAAATTATCAACTTTTGGGCAATACATTCCAACTTTCTACTAACCGATAAATAGCACGTATGAAACGAGAAGACAATTCAGGCGAAATGTTGACATGTTTCTTCGTTCCAAAGAGTTCTATAGTTATTTTTATTATAAAATTCTCTCTTCGTGCAGAAGCTATTTTTCCACTATGACATTATAAATATTTATTTATTGCCGTTTCTTCCATGTTAAAGTTTAAAAAGAAGCACTTGTTCAAGAATTATGTAATATATTGCTTATTGTATTGGGTGTGTGAATATGACTCCGCCCTTTTTTGTTAAAATAAAACACATTTGCTTATTTAGAAAATTAAAGAAAAGTTTATTGAAAGTATGCTCCATCTGCAGCTACAACCTTTGCCCATCTTTCAGGTAATTTATGTATTCCTTGCCTGAAGAAGTCCTGGTCTTTTGAGCTGATCCAATTATCAAGCCAAATTTTGATACTTTCGTATAAAGTGAACCGTTCTCCCGTAAGATCTGACTGCATTGTCCGGAATAAGTAGTAATCTGAAGGATCTATGTCTGGCGAATATGGCGGATGGAGTAGCACTTCCTAGTCCTATCCATCTAAATATCTTTTCACGACTTCTGCGGCATGCGGTTTGGCATTATCATGCTGAAGAATTAATTTGCTGTGCCTATTCACCCATTCTGGCCGTTTTTCTTCTATGGCTCGCTTCAAACGCATTAATTGTCGTCGGTAAACTTCTCCTTTAATAGTTTGGCTACAATCCTCTGTCAATAATGCTTCCAATTCAGCATCTTCAAATTTTTCTGGCGGTTTCCCATGTTCTCTGTCCTCAGTTCCAAAATCATTATTTTGAAATCGTCGAAACCATTCCTTACAAGTTGTATTAGATGGAGCATGATCGCCGTAAATCTCCACAAGCAAATGATAAGTTTCCGCTGCACTTTTCTTCGCAATAAAATAGCGTAATAATACTTCCCGCAAATGATGTTTGTTTGAAACGAAAACCGACATTTTCAAGTAAGGTAAAACACTTGTTGCTTACCAAATTTCACGTAGTACGTTTGAAAGTTGACATAAAGTACTATCGAATACAAGTGTTGCCAGTTATTAGTAAACGTTAACAATACTAAAAGCAACATCTGTTGGGAAAGGGCGGAGTCATATTCACACACCCAATAATAAAAAATAAATGTTAAATACTGCTAGACTGATTGAACGATATTAAGCTATTAAGCAAATCTTAGATGTGTTCTAAATTAATATTCTAACTTAATTTTAATGTCGACACAAATAACTATTTTTCCAACTATTTTCAAGTTTGATAGAATCATGGTTACTGTAAAGTCAAAATTCCGACTCGGGGCATTTTCATTTGAAATATGCGCTTTACTCTCATATAAATTCATATACGCAAGAAAAGTACTCGTTCGATGATTTTTTATATCGAACACAACTGAAGCAGCTACAGCGACTGTATCGCTGATGCCTCGCAGCGATTAAAGCTAAAATAATAGTTAAAATTATATTTTAGTTTATTTAGTTCATTTAGTTCGTTTTTCGTTCATTTTAGTCAGAATAATTTGATCGATTCGAATAGTTCGATCATTTTAGTTTTCAGTTTAATAGTTTATTTAGTTCATTAGACAAAGTCAAAATTAAATCTCACAGGAAGAGACCTTCGAGTGAATGAGATTCTCAGTGTTGCGCACAAAGCACCAAAAAAAAAACAAATTCGCGACGAAACGCGAATTGTTGCGGCGAATATCCCGACGGCAGAGACATTCGCGCGCGTGAGAAAGCGCGGGAACATCAGTATTAATTTACGTGAATTGCGACGTGGATACCGTCGCTACGGTTGTTACATCTGCGTTCTCGAAAGAAAGAGAGAGGGAGAGAGAGAGAGAGAGAGAGAGAGAGAGAGAGAGAAAGAGAGAGAGGAGGGGAGAGAACGCCGGGGTCGTTAACATTTTTAACGAAACAAAAAATGCACACGATGATAGAGTAACGTTCGGCTTTCGACTTTCGCGCGATCTCGTCCGCGGCAATAATTACCGCCATATCGGTGCCGATCCTGCGCGGCGCAAATGGACGATGCGCGTGAATCGCATTAAGCGTCGCGCTGTTAGACATTCATTGCATCCGTCATCTCCGGGTCGATTACACGGGCTATACGTTAGGATTAGGCCATCTTTACGGAGACGTACCGTTACAACTATCAATATCCGTCCGCGCGTTAAGAGATTCCGTCGCGGCTAATCTCGGGGCTATCTCGGGGCACGGGGCTAATTTCAAGCGATAACAAACATGAATGCGTGGCGCTACGCGTGCCAAAGCCGGCGTGTTATTTTACTGCTATCGCCTGCAAGTATTAAGGGGTTGCAGAAATGAATGACGAACTCAGAAAAGTCGATAGCGTGGAGGCGATCGTCAGAACGCCACATCAGATAAGCACTAACACGCTCTTCTCGGCTTTCTCATACAATCGTGAGCAAAAGGTGGCTATTTTTTCCTTTCCTTTTTCTATTTTTTCTTTTTTTTCTTTTTTTTTTTTTTCGATGAGTTTCGGAACGTTCGGCTTCGTTTTGGTCAGTGGGAGAATTTGTTTCCAGGCGGATCTGTTCCGAAAGTTGCACAACAAATATGGACAACCGTTCTGTTTACAATACAATGGCTTTTGAAACGGCTTTTTGGGCACTTTTTCCAACGCAAGTGGGGACGTAACAAATGTCCAGTGACAGGGAATTTTTAATTCTGGGAATTTTGATAACCAAGGGCCTTCTCTGATCGAACCATTCGGCTACTTGCCAAACTTCGTGCAACGAAAAGTCTCCAAACCGTTTGGAGACACTTGGTATATATAGACCTTGTATAAACATATTTTATTTTACAATGCTTAGCAGAAAACGTAAGTATGCAAATATAGAACTTCTTCTGCGAACTTTCCGTATATTTTTCAGCCTCTCCAACTTCAGCTGTAAAGGTACAGCAATGTTCTTTGAAGTTTCGCTGAACGAAGCAAATACGCGGTCGATATATACAAGTGCTGCGGAACTTTTATATTATTTTTGCATCAATATTTACGCTAACCGTGGCAGCTCGGAATGTAACTTTTCAAATTTGTCGTCGTCCTCGCCGTATATTGAGCAATCGAGTTCATTGACCTCCTTTCGTTGTGTAAAAATATTTGTAATTCTGCGCAGTCAACGTGACGTAAAGTTTACGAAGAAAGATCAGCATTTCGTCTTAACACACGTATACACATACAGAGCTTCTGTTTGAAAATCGTTTGGAAACGGTTTGAGCACTTTTCTCGCATGGCGGTGCGGCCCGCAACGCAGCCGATGACCGAGATGAGAGAAGTTTCGCTTCTGGGAAATTACAAGTCAAATTCTCTTATTCGACATCTCCCCCTCTCTGTCTCTGCTGCGTTCCCGACTGCATTCCCCGAAAAGGAGAAAAAGAAAATGTCCGAGCCGCTCTGAGAAGCGGGCGAGCTATACTATACGTAATCTACTTATGACCGTTCTGTTCTCCGGCGGCGTATAGACGTATAGTCATGCGCGTGGTATATCTCCATCGTCTGTGCTCCAATTTTTGACAGGAAACTGTTATACTATCTCTCGGCAATTTCGCGCCGCGGCGCGCCGCGTATCCTGATTTCGCGGCCGCGGCCGGCCCGTAAACCCGCGCGCATACTCGAAACTCCGTAACCATGATTTCTCCCGGCAAATCAATTTTGCGCTCGAGACCTCCTTGGGACTCGAAGCGCAACTTGGTACGGACGGCGGCCGGTTAATTTGCTCGCTAGACCATGATGGTCGGATAAATTAAAATAGATCCGGCTTCGGCCGCGTAGCACAGCGCGAGCGAGCGCGAGCGAGCGCGCGCACAGCTGGCGCTGAAATTAACGCGAACTAATGGCGGGGTCAACGTTTGTCTTTGCAGAGCAGCGTGTTTCGTCGTGAGAGGCTGGGACCTCCAGGATGCCAGGGGTGTGGAAGTTGCTACGTATGCTGATCTACATGGTAAGTCAGTCACACGGTGACGACTGGCGACAGATGTACGAACGAACATAGCAGGCCCGGGCCGAGTTGGCAGACTTTTCCGAATTTGCGTGTTAGAACTGCTCACTCAACTAATCTCGTTGATTTGATAAAAACCCTGGGAAAGACCTTCTTTTGCTCTTATGCCGGGAACGATCCGATGAAAAGTGCATGCTCTCTTCTGTATTAAAAATTACTTGCGTACCGAGCGTAAGAAGTCCTTGAGAAACTTTCTGTCGTTTAGAATTATTGGGTTGGCAACTAAGTGATTGCGGATTTTAAATAAGAATGAAAATTCAAAATTTTTAATTTGCTATTTTACATTTTTTTCAATGCATGTATGCGATACATTGAGCTTCTCTGCAATATCACGTGTTGTGCTATGACGATCTGAATCGATATGTGGCCTTGATATGGGTCTCATCGACTTCAACTGGACGGCCAGATCGTTGAGCATTTTTCAATGAAAAATCACCAGAACGAAATCTGGCAAACCAATTTTGACACTGCCTTTCTTTCAAGGCTTCATTCCCATATACGGCACATAACTTCTTGTGTGCTTGCGATGCGTTCTTGCCTTTTCGGAAATAATACAATAAAATATGTCTGAAGTGCACGTCTTGCTCTTCCATTTTTTAATTGGGATAAAAACAAAACTAAAGAACTAATCGATATAATTTTTGTACTAAATGAAAGGTAGAAGTCCAAACAATAAGAAAAAAATATAGGTTAGGTACTTTGAACACATTAACGAAACAAAAGAAAGTGTAAAATCCATCTGTCGACAAAATCCGCAATCACTTAGTTGCCAACCCAATATTTTCTAGTAAATGAATTTTACTGTTTGCCTTTTCATCGCGGAAGAAGTACGAGAGCAAAGGCGAACTTTCGATGATCGAGACATAGCGACTTTTATTTCTCGTTTGCAACAATATAGCTTGATTCCTCAAGTCCAAAGTATTGATTTGTCATTTTTAATGCTGTGGTAATTTATATACTATATACGATATATTATATACTATATATTATATAATATACGGCATACTATATACTATACTATATAATATATCGTATATTATATACTATGCACTATATATTATACACTATACACTATATACTATACACTATATATTATACATTACACACTATATATATATATATTATACATTATACATTATACATTATATATTATATACTATGTGTTCATCATCAAAACGAATTAACCAAATCATGTACGAATTTTCAGATAAATGTAAGTTACTCCCTTCATCAATCCATATGTTCGATTTCTCAATCATCTTGTAAAATAAAAATTGCTTTTATCACGCAACATAGTGCATTATAGAAGCGCAAGAAATCCCCTTCCAGCTAACGATACGTCACTCAAATTCATTTGTTTCCGAAATTATATGATGTCCAACAATTCACTCGGCTGTTCGTAAATCAGACTTTTCTCTTTTTCAACCGCAGTAACTTTCTCAATTTTCAGTGGTATTCGCGGAGAAGTACCTAAAAGGACGATTTTGCGACTGCTTTCCCACTGTTTCCCTCACAATGGCCGCATAAACCAGCATATAGTCGACACACCCCCTGAGTCAACCTGCAGTCCGATCCCCTATCGATCGCATGTCTCCTACTGCCTGTTCGCGAAGATCGACGCGGCTGACTTGCAAATCGAGTGTAACGTTTAACTTGTTGAGGCATAGCGGGATAAAAAGTGTCCCGCCTTTTCAGTACTGTATACACACTGGGATGTTTTCCATCCCACTTAAGACAACAACTCGAGGCACAGAGGCTCATAATGCATAGTTTATAAACGAAACAAACCTACTTATTATATACAGTGAAAAAAAATTGTATTAAAATTAAACAAATCTTTGTTCGAATACGATTGTGAATAAATTTACTCAAATTAAACGACTAATTTCTAAAATGAAATACAAAGGTTCTGAATATAAACTTTTTTCCTTGAATTTTAGAAAATAATCGCTTAATTTAAAGAAATATATTCACAGTCGTATTCGAACAAAAATTTGTTTAATTTTAATACAATTTTTTCTCAGTGTATTTTTCTTAATTAAAATTCCTGTGCAACCAGACACTGTTTTGTCTTATGCCCCAAAGAATTAATATACTTTGATCAGTTAAAGAATCTTCACGAATGTCTCTCCTCATATTGTTCCGCTGGAGGTTAACAGTAAATAATTAAAGCGCAGCGCTTTGAGCGCATGCGCGCGCCACATCCATATCGCCTCGTTTGGACTCGGTTAGAAACGTTCATCGGCGAGGCAGAGGAACGCTACCTACGTCGGCAGATGAAACCGTCAGATATTTGCCGTCTTAATAATCGCGTTGGCCGAGCGACGAACGAACGAACGAACGAACGAACGAACGAACGAACGAGCCTGGCGACACCGCGGGAAAGAGAAAGAGAGGAGGAGAGAGAGGACATCGGCGTATCGACTAGCACAGCGCAGCCCGGCCACGGGAACTCACACACGGGATTCGTGACTTGCGTTTCATAGCGCGTCTTCTTCTTCTTCTAGCGGTTTCGTTTGTCGGTCAATTAGGCCCTAGAGCCGTGCATCGAGCGCCGATCGACTGGCCGCCGTCGATTCCGATAATGGGCCGCAATTTCAAGTGTGTTTGGCCAATGGCGCGACCGCCCGGTAGATATCCTATAATTAATGAATAACGGTGTCTCTTTCTCTCTTTCACGCGCGAGACCCAGCCCGACACTTCACATAATAGTCATTTGACCGCCTAATACAACCGGGACACCGTTCCGGGGGCCTTTTGCGAGCCGCGCGCGACATCGAGAGGCCCCGTTGTTGCTCTTCCCCCTCTCTCTCTCTCTCTCTCTCTCTCCCTCTCTTCTCACAGTGGTGACACTCCGGCCCACCGGTGGGAATTCGCGATTCCACCGGGATGACAATGCGATGACGCGGCGGGAGCCGCGACAGCTTGCAAGCGGATATTCGTGCCTACTCTAGGTACCGTTAACCGCGTCTCAAGGCCCCCTTTCCCGTCCCGTCTACGTCGCCGTCGCCGTCGTCTCCTCCTCACGTGTCCTCGCCACCTCCTCGCCACCGTCGTTCCTTCCTCACCGCGAGAATCCTGTCCTCTATGTGGGACGGCGGGAAACCCATTTCCGCGACCTTGCTCGCGACATCGGGATTCATGTCATGTGATGTCATGTCCGTCTGCGAAGTTTTGTCATAATTTTCCGCCGGTGTAGAACGTAGACGGCGGGCTTGGTCTGTGGAAGAAGCTGGAAAGTCGACTTTGCGGGCGGCGCTCTATAGACTGATCTTATACTTTAACCCTTCGGTAGAGGCGCGCGCGTGATCTACGAGCGTAGGGTGAGAGGTTATGTATTACTGTAGAAAGATACATGGTTTTTGGTAATATATACGCGGTCTACTTCCAGCTAGGGGTTTAGATAGTACGTGGATGCTTCTATAAGGGTCGATAAAATCGGTTGTATAAAATGTTGAGACGAAATTAATCTGCCGGTAAAAGCACGTCTTCTATCTTATTCTAGGTACCTAATCTATCATGACCACAATGTAGACTGACGTCAACTAGCGCTAACACTTCGTCAATATTATAAGTCCTTACTCAGCAATGTAACTGTTATGTACGACATGTGTCATGTAACACTTACATTGCTCTAACTAGAAATCATAATATTTATTTATCTTATACAAGAAACGATTCCTTTGATACATAACGATCGCACAAAGTACTCTCATTTATATATATATATATAAATACTGATTTTTGTTAATTTGATGATTTTGAAATGTCCAAAGGTCGATAAGTTAACAAAAGTGAGAGCACTTGTAACAATATATTCTTAAGACTTAAATCTTAAATAGAATAAACAAGTTTTGTACCACTTTTTCATCCGACAATTAGTTAACGAGATATTGTAAATTGAATATTGAAAAAGTTACCAAGTTTTCTTTAAATATGTCAAAAAATATTAGGCGAATAAAAAAATGTTTCAAACAAAAGTTGTTGAAATTAATTAGTAGAAAGAGATGATATAATAAAAAATTGGGATTTCCATTTAAGAAAAGTAATGACCAGTGAATATCTCGAAAGTGGCGCCGTCTGTAAACAAAATGATATAATTGTTTTATGTCCCCACCCCCCTTGAAACTTTTCCAAAACGCTTCTTAGTATCTTTCATATTTTTCGAGATTTTGATCTGGCTCATTTAAAATAGGACACCCTATATCGCATTTTGCTTTATATGTGAAAAACTGAACCATTATGATCTACAATGGTAGGTTAGCTAGCTAGAATAAGATCAAGTACGTGCATTTACTGACAGATTAATTTCCTCTCTTAACATTTTATATAACCGATCCATCGGCCCTTCCAGCATCTATGTACCATTCAGGTCTTTAATTTTCTACGCTATTAACTTTGTACCAAAAACGACGATTATAAGCAAAAATGAAAGTAATATCCTGCTTATTTACTGAATCCAATTTGAAAAACCTCTCGCTTAGTAACTGTTAAGGGAAGCGATAATTTTATAAAACGTTCATCCTGCATCTCTGAAATAAGACCATATAAGTGCTCATATATGAATTTCTCCTCACAAAGTAGCCTGAAAAATCGTCTCTCAAAATATCGGACAGAGCGCTGAAGAAGCACCCTTACAAGATCAAACTATAAACGCTGTATGAATTGGCTTGTCGTGTCGCAACGTCAACGTTCGCAGCGGCCGATACTCGGCCGCGACTCATTGTCGAGCCGAGTTTTTCGAGGCTTCGGAACGCGACGGCTTAAGTAATAAGCTTAACGCGGATTCTCTCTCTCTCTCTCTCTCTCTCGGCGGTTATACGAGTATAATAAGGGTCTCTCCGCAGAAGGTTAAGGAAGGTCAGTGAAATCGGTCGTCGTAGGCTTCTCTCGTCTATTCGTGCCGGCCCCGATCCTCCGTCTGCGGATCGGCACACGCGAGG